TTGAATTAGAATCTAGACTCAGACTCCAAGGAGACATGAATAACGTGTGTGCTGGTCTTTCCCTAATGAGTATTCATGAATCCCTGGGAAGTTTTTTGTCTCTCCTCTCACTCTTTTTCTCTCTGCATTTATCCCCGTGGTTGTTTCACCTGATTGCTGCTTGATTTTAATTCAACCTGGCACTCCTTCATGAAGCACTAAATTTCCTCAAAACGGCTATACATTAAACTGTGGTGACCCCTGAAGGCTCTGCCACCAACACAGTTCCAACCTTTATTGCTTTGTGCAGTCCATCCATTCTTGGTTCAAGGGTGGCCTAGATACAGAGATACCAGTTCAGATACGCACAGGTAATGACACCAATTACCTGGCAGGATGTGTAAGAAAAGCTCTTCTGTTCTCTTCTGTACCACGCTGATGGACTCTGATAAATCTTTCCTTCAGTTATCAAGCAGGAGTTCATTCACTGAAAGGTCTCGTCAAAGTCCACGTGTCTTGGTGGTGGAGTTCTTTAACACGATACTTTTCTACTCAACATCTTTAGGCTTAAAATCAGGAGAACGCTCTGACATACAAAAACATCATCTGTTTTGAAACCTAAAATTCATAATTATCATTGGAGCTCCTGAATTAAGATACTGCTTAGAAGTGTGTGTGTGGTGATATGTGTGTGTGTGGTGATATGTGTGTGTGTGTGTGTGTGTGTGTGTGTGTGCAGTGAGTATACAAGCTCTTTAACTTTGAAGGCCAAATATCCAATTCCAAAACACAAAAGAGAGAACTTCTTAGTGCATAGAAGGATCTGACCACATGCAAAAACACAGTTTATAGAAACATGGAATTTAACGTGTTCTACCACCCATTACTTACAACTCATGGTGTCTTCTTTCAATTACGTCATAAATCAAAGGATGTATGGAAGTGAAGCTTCTTTTTTACATCATTCTTGCTGGCTCCGGGGGAGTAGTCAGATTTTTAGCACAGAAAAAGCCTGGGGAAAGAGCAAAACATCCCCTGAGATTAGATAAAAGAAGGAAACCATAGACAGCTTCCAGTTTATGGGCCAGGCATAACAGCAGCAATGTGCTGGCCTCATCTTCTCCATATGGCCTGTCATCTCTACAAGGACATTGAACAGGGTGTTCTAGTTTCTGGCACTGGAAAGGAAAAAAGAATTATAGATTTCTTGGCTGCAAAGCAATCTTCTATAGAAAGCAATTGTTCCCTCCGCATCAGTATTTTATCAGAATCAAGACTTTAATGGTAAAATAAAAGGAAATGAATCCTGTTCTCCCAATTGCTCGGCATGCATGTATTCCCAGTCTTTCTTTTTTTCCCAATTGACACCTAACTGGATTTTAAAATGTAGTTTTTCTAAGAAGGAACTTTGTGTTTTTAGAATGCTTTCTCAAAAACAGGAGCTCTTCTAGTTGCAACATAAATGATGCTATTAATTTTTGTTACATGTACATCATCTTATATGGATTTTGTTGTTGTTACTGCTATGGTTTCTTTCTCTTTTTTTAAGAGAATATATACTGACCTAGCCACCTTCCCTCTCTACCCATGTGGCATAAAGTTTCAAGACAGCAGGCTGAGTTCCGTGGCCATAGAATACACAGAAACTCACAGCCAAGACAGGGAGCAAGCTCACAACTGTGCTAAGAAATACTAAGATAACCATCTGCTTCCGGCTCTGTTAGACTACAAGGGGCATTTTGTTTATTAGCCTGCTAAATGCTTTTAAAACATTGCCTTTGTTTCCACAGGACAAAAGTAGTTAATCAAATACTACATTAGTTACTACAGTTTTAACTGGAAAGGTGTATACAAATAGATTTCGAGACATATTGCCAGGATAGTGGAAACTGTCTCTTTTTCATTTTACTTGCGATTTTAATGTTTCAATTAAAATTATTTATTTTGTTTAAAAAAATGGAAACTTCTAACCACCTGTATTATTCCCTCACGTTGTACCCACATTACTAAAGAAGCTTTATATCCTAGGACATTGGGTTCTCATGTGATTTATCCCATCGTGAACTAGTGAAAGGGAATGATTACAATTAAGCACAACTTAGATTTGAGAGAAAAATGATCTGTATTCAGAAATCAATGTGTTTTTATTCATAATTCTCAGTCAAATACAGAGGTGATCCAGTTCATTCCAACTCTGACATTCAAAGACCCATTAAAGAGCACTAAACAAAGCCAAGCATGTTATTTTAGACACATCTATTGCCATTTATAAGTAACCACTCGAAATTCTGCTCTGCTTTACATATCTTTTTAAAAACTTGTTCTAAATCTATTTGTACTGTGTATCAATTATATGGATAAAATAAGAGCTGAGAGGCTCTCCCTAAGAAAAATGTTGTTTTTGTTAGAAATTCTGCCCAGCTACCTTCTGAGTTCCCTGAAAATGAAAATCTCTGTGTCTCTCAGATGACAGCCACCTTGTTTGTGCAACCAAAATAGCTTTCTCAGCTATAGAGCTGTCTGTCAGTAATAGTTCTGACAGATATCAGACTTGGCATGCAGCAGGAAGTCTAGACATGGTCCCACAGAAGGCGATTTGGTGGGAGCACGACTAGCTAAGAAGCAAGGCAGGGGGAGCACTCAGAAAACAGTGCTTCTAGACACCAGACCAATCACAAGGAAAACGACAGGCATTTCGGGAAATGACTAATAGTCTTGAGAGAGAGGAGAGCCAAAGTGGTGGTTATTGACAAGTCCCTATTTCCACCATTAGTTCAGTGGATTTTTGAAAGGACAATGATTAGGTAGAGATAAGATGCAGCAAACTGGCCGGTTTTCATTTGTGAAAGGAAGCAAAAACACTTACATGCATAGGATTTTTATCTCCCTCTAGCGGTGGGGTGGGGCCTTTGATAGCCTATTACTGCATAATACTGCTTCATAAACAAAAATAAGCTTCCATTACAGTGCGGTTTGCCCATAAGATTAGGATTTTCATTAGGTGTGTTGCTCTCCCTTATGGTGGTTTTCAAAACATTTCCAGCCTTCCATGTGATGGAGTGAACTGCCTCCTAAGGATGCTGATTACCAGTGATAAGGTAGCAAGGGTCTCCTTCTCTTTTTAGCTAGAGACACAAGATTCTCTTCTCTGTTGTCCTAACAAAAATGAAGCCATTTTGTGCTCAGAGGCAACTCCCCTGACCCTTAATGGTGGCCAGAAAAACCTGAGGAGCTAAAAAAGAGAGAGCAAGCTTACCTAGAGTAAAGGTGGAAAACATGGAAACTCAGAGGGAAGACTCTAGTAAAGGATCTAGAGAATCATCTGAACCTTAAATAAAGGGCAATAATTAGAGAGAAATTTTGGAACAAGTCTCCACCACTCCCTTCCCATCCCTGTCATTTTTGTCATTTTTATCCTTGGTCAAATGACCAATATTTCTGATGTAGCAATTTAGATCAGTGATAGTGGATGAAAAAGTAGAAAAGATAGAAAAAGTAAATGATGACAATTTTAAAGAGAGTAACTAAAGTTTCCTTCTTCCATATGGAGGAATTAAATTGTACAATATCATAATTGTATGAGAGTATTAAAGGAAAAGATCAAAGGTTACAGCCATCTAATCAATAGATTATTGATCAGTAACTGAAAACCTATCTGTGTGAAGTATACAAAGTATGCAGCTTTTCCCCTTGTCCTGCTCTATACTCAGAATTAGGCATCACTGATGTCTACTTCTCCTCTTGAATGTCTCCAAGGCAACCAAACTCATATGTTTTCTTTGCAAACCTATTTCTTTTCTGGTTTCCTTAGCTCAGTGAATAACTTCATCAGCCAGTAGTGCAAGCCAGAAATCCAGGAGTTACTTGATCCTCCTAGCCAACCACCATCATATCCAATTCATCACATTCCTTCAGTTTTACTTCCTAAATATATCTCGAATAGATCCATTTCTCTTTGCCTCTGCCATCACCCTAATTAATCATCTCTCCCCTCAACAATGACTACTACAAATGGCATCCACTCCATCCTTTTTCAAATGCATTCTCCACACTGCATTACCTTATTCAACAAATATTTTTGAGGAGCCTACTTTGTACTGTAGTTAATAAGACAGACAAGGCATTTGTGGAAATAGAAGATAAACATCAGATAGTCAAAAGCACTATGAGAACAAAGTAGGGTGATGAAACAGGGAGTGGCTAAATAACTATTCTAGACTGTGTTCAAATACAAGAAATTGGTGGCGGTTTTATCAAGGTGTATAAGTTTTGACGCAGGAAAATGAAGGAAATCCACTGGGACGATGGTATCTGCTTCTAGCATATTATGAGTATACTTCTGATACTGGCCAATAAGAAGAAGGAGAATAGGTTAAAATGTACACGAACATTCAATCTAGGTCTGTTTGTCTCCAAATACCTCTGCTTAAACATAGCACTTACTGCCTATGTGGAAGCATCTTATTTTTGCTAACTGCTGTATGTCTCTTTTCTTTAGAATGTAAGCTCCATGAACGTACGGGCCATAACTGTCTTGGTCTCTGCAGTAACTACAGTGCCTAAGAACCGAGTCTGACATTACCATAGGCATGCAAATAAGTATTTGTTGCATTAATGCACAAATCGCTGTGTGAAGGGGGAGAAAAGACAGAGAAAATAACGGAGTAGGCTTAGGGGATCAGGAAGTCTTTGCTGAGATGTCAAGGTCATTTACTTCCCCTCGCAAGGTTAACTGGGTTATAGAATCCCGGCCACGCTTCTCAGCACCAAGCACTAAGCGCTCACACTCAAACTCATACACACGCTCGGAGCCACAAATCTCTCCAACTCCCCGCTAGGAGGAGTCACACCTCCCCACCCAGAAACCCTCCCACCCTCTCCTCTATTTCTCCTTCCCTCCCATCTCCTCCGTGTTCCGGCAGTCTTCGAGTCACAATGCTTGCCGGGAATAGTAGTCTTCCGGTCTGAGCCCGTAGCGTTTTAAATACATTTACAGAACTACGCTTCCCTGGGATCCTCGCTGTAGACTGTGGCTGAGTCACCTGACCAAGACCCTGGAGTTACAATGGCGGCGCCCGTGCTGCGCCGGGGCTGCCGTGGAAGACTTTGGGCTTTAGCCTGCGTTGACGGCGGTTCTTGCCACGGAAGAGGGGCTCCGACTGGGTCCCCATCCAACAGGATTAGGGGACAGAGCTCAGTGGCTCAGCAGCCCCTCCACACGGCCCAGAAGCCGAGGAAAGGGTATTTTGTTTCATACTATTTCTGCTCACCTAACTGTGAGGTGGAACTGCAGGACTGGGGAAATTATGGCAATTACAGCCCAGCTACTAGGCGTTTTGGCTGACGGAAGGGTGTTGAGTTATAACCTACCCTGAACCCTAAATAAAAGCACAAAACAGGCCCTCTATCAGCTCCGCCGTCATATATAAACACTGTTTTGAAATAGACATAGTTGGAGAATTCGCGAGTGCAAAATAGCAAATATTTTCTTGAAGGCAGCACAGACAGTGGATTCGGTTATATTACTAATAGCAGTAGCAGTGGGGACGGTGACAGTAGTAGCGGGATCATATTTAGCTGATTTTATTTAGCGCTAGTTTGGGCCAGCAGTGTTCTAAAGGTAGAAAAGGAGCCTGTACCTACTAGCTCTGAGTAGAGCTGGCTTAATGTCAGTCAGAAAACACTAGCTATCTCTGCAGGCGTATTATGTTGAATGTGTGTGTCTAGACCTAGGAAGACGCAGCCAAAAGAAGAGATACTCCCTTCTGGTTATGTAGAGAGTTTTGCTTATTTGGCCAGATATCCCCTGAACAAACAGCTGTTTATGCTTCATTATATAAGAATTAAATAGTTTCTCTTTAAATACAGAAACATAAGGCAAGTTCTAATATTTTGTTTGTTCTTTGAGATTGGTTGGCAGTATTTTTGCTTTCAGTTGGAGAAACAGAGGGAAATTGCCCAGAAGTATTCAGTTTGTATTCTTTTCGTGAATTAGATTGTTTCCCTGTGAATGGAAAGTACATTTTTTTCTCTCATGTAATGGAACTGCAAAAATACTTTGATGCTTTACTGCATGCAGAATTTCTTATGAGTTTTTGCTTTAATTCCCCTCCCTTACTGGCTGTTTCCAAACTTTGGAAAGAAGGAATTATTCTTGCAGTACTTCAGACATAGAAATTTATGTGTTGAAATGATTGAAACAAAACAAAATAATGTAAAATCTGTGTATGTATATACATATATATGTGTGTATATATAAAAAAATGTAAAAAATTGCTTGGGAGAAGAGCAGGATAGGAACATACATGGATTTCTTAGGGAATAAACACATTTATAAAGACCTGGAGAGATCTGTGTACAGATACAACAGAGAAGGAATGGCCAGACAAGAGAGATTATTATAGCATTTAACAACTTCTTATATCTGATAGCAATCAAACATGAACAAAGTAACCTGAAATTAGGTCTCAGGAATCAAAAGTGATTTGGGGGACCAAAAATATACCATATCAGATGGTTTAATATGGTGAGGTTCTTGCAAATTTTTTTTCAAGAGTATTATTTAGTGGTGATGTATTATATCGGTGCCTCTCTGGTTATTATGCTTGCAAGCCATTATTATGAAATGAATTCAAAACATGGTTGAGAATTTCTTTTTTAAATAGGAGATGTGAAACTATTTATCATTATTTCTCTAGTAGTAGAATCTTCCCATTTATGTTAATTCTAAATAATGTGGGGAAGATCAGCTTTCTTCATTTACCAAGTGATTACTTGATCAGGTACAGTTAACTTGTTAAATGCTGCTTTTCGCTGAAGTCAGCCAAGCAGTTGTCACCTGATGGGTATCACCTGATACCCATTTCTAAATTGTTTTAAGATGCCAACTTGTTCCTTTCTCTATTGCCTTCATGTGTATGTAGTCAGCCTCCTGATGCCATGTTGTAAATGAATTTTAGTTTGCCAATGTCAATGTGCGTGCTTATTATGAATTGTTTTTATTTAGTCACTGATAAAATATGACACATTTTAAATGTGAGGATATAATATTATAATAAGTTTAAAACACATATAGGAAATTAACATTTGTGGTTTAGACTTATAGAAATTCATTCATGGTGACAAGTATACTTGCATCTTAACTATTATCTCTTTCTTCTTAGTGAACACAATTGGGCTGCGGTGGTAGGTTTGGAAATTCATGCCCAGATTTCCTCCAACTCTAAACTCTTCTCTGGATCTCAAGTTCGCTTTTCAGCACCTCCAAATTCTTTGGTTTCTTTTTTTGATGCATCTCTACCTGGAACTTTGCCGGTAAGGCTTTTATTTAATCCTATTTTCATTAGAAAAATGTTTAGTTTATATTGAACATGGAAAATTATTTTCTTGTTTTAATAATAACACAGCTCTTTGGAAATACTTATATAGGGAATTTTGGGTAAAGTGAGATGTACTAAATGTTTTCTAAAAACCCATCTCTGTGATTCTAAGTCTGAACATATTTGTACACGTATTCATCACTTCACAAACAATTTAGCATGCCTACTAACACCAGACATTGTGCTATGAGCTGAGTCATAAAGATGAGCAAATATCCTTGCCTTTAAGGAGTTCAAAAACTAGCAGGGTAGATATGTCTTATAAACAAATAGTGGACAGTGTGATAGGCAGAGGATGGTTTTGTAACCCAGAGGAGGGACAACTAATTCCGTAAAAGGAAGGACTATTGTGAGAAATTGAGATAGGGGTACATTTAGTTAAGGAACAGTTACTGAAGAGGTGGTCATCTGAGCTATTTGAGAAGCCACATAGAATTTAGGCAGATGAATGAAGGAGGAGGAGGAATCTACTCAAAGGAAGCAGCATATATCACATTATCTACAGTGTAAGGCCAATAATGATTGTGGTTATTAAAAATTAAGAAACACTCAATAATATAGAAAATAGCCATAATATGCAGTGAGTTAACTATTGTACTCATCTAACCACTCATTTTCACTTGATCCTGTGGAATGAGTGGACCCAGTATACCCATCAGCAAGACTTTTTGCATATATTTTTAGATCATTGGTTGAATTTTTAAGAAAAGTATGGAGGGAACAATGTAAATGCTTTAGCTAATGAATAGCATATGGTCTGTCCAGGACCTAAAATATCAACTGTGTTTTGGGCTTCCTGTCATCTTTGGAGAAAAAGTATATCCATCGTGGTGATGAAGGTGAGGAGGGGCAGACATTGTTGTGGGTGAACTCCATACTCCTAAACATTAAAATATGGGTGGAAGCTGGTTGAACTGAGCACTGGCAGGTTTGCAGAGGCAGAGGTGTACTTTTCTTGGTCACTGCCCACAGTGGAAGATTCTGGGCAGTGCCTCCAGTTTGCCTGCCTCACTCAGCTTTGGTTGGATTGGGGCAGCATCTTTGGGAGCTTTTCTCTTACTCAGATTTTCTGTCATGGAGGACTCCTATCCCTGCAGACCATATCAAGGGTCACCTTTGATTTGCTGCTGGGTTCCTCTGGGAGAAGGTAGATGTGGAGGTGTGGCCTCTTTCTCTCTCTCTCTGACTTAGAGATCTATCTATGGAAAGATTTTTTGTTTGTTTGAGAAGAGTGAATTTTTCAGTTATAAATGTATGAGATCTTTTTTGGGCAGAGATTCAGATATACTACAAATAAAATAATATTTATTTAGACATGTAAAATGGAAGGCAAGTTGTCATAACACCTCTACATTTTCCCTTCCAGATTCAAAACATTTTTTTCCCATGCGGTAGTTAATTATCAAGAGACTGGGCATAAACTGTGAGTTCCTCCTAGGTTTTTACAGCTGTGAATGTGATGGCTATCAGGGTATACTTATTATAGTTCACTTTAGAAACAGATCCATTTGCAGATAACCATGTTTTCTGTAAATAGACTCTCCAGTTATGTCTAAATTTGGTCAAATATTAGAAAAATTCAAAATAATTAAAATGCCAGCATTTTAATTGCTTCATAAAACTTATGCACCAAAAAAGAAGGTACTTGTTCAGTGATAAGCATGTCAGTAACATAGTGAAGGTGTTTGGGACATTTGAGTGTTGAGAGCTTGGTTTACATTAATTAAATTGCAGACAAAGTCTAGAAGTATAGTTTGCATGAGCTAGGATTTGTTTTCCTCTTCAGAGCTTAGAACAATTACGGCTTAAGTAGCCTAAATGGGTTATTCTGTAGACAGAACAGATTACCTCTTTTTCAGAAATGTTTCTGTCTTTAAGGAACCTAATTTAGTATGTGAGCAACATTACAAAGCATTGTCACTCAAAACATTTCAAAATCTTGTGATTCACCTCTAATAGATTTAGATTTAATATACACTAAAACCTTTAGACAATTCTAAGTCCTATGGAGATGTATAAAGATGCTCTGATAGCCAGACTCTGCTTATAACTCTATTTATAGCAAACCAATAAATTCAGAGTATGTTTGTACTTCTGAGGATTTTAGTGGAACATTATGTTATTGTTTTGATCAGGTAAACCAAAAGCGTAAGTGTGATTCATGATGATGCTTGAAATTCTTTCTGACCAGGGCTTATACTGCTCCCTTCTCTCCTGCTTCTTCCCCACCCCCTACTTGGCTGATTGTGCCTTCTCACATGACTGTGTTCAGCCACTCGGCCCTGAAATGTTGGTTTCCCATGTTTTATTCCTTGGCTCTCAGTTCGTCGGTTCCCTGTGTTACCCTGAGTAATCTTTTTACCCTCAAATAAAGCTCCCCTCTCTCTTCTAGGCAAGAAATTTATATCTATTGTGTCCTGTATATGTCCATCTGAATGATTCATAAACATCTTAAATTCGGCAGTTATAATGTTGAGCCTATTAACTTTTCTCCCCAAAGTTTCACTGCCTCCTGAAGAAAGAGTAACCCAATAAGAGGAAAATATATATAAGAAGAAGCAAAAATCAGTGGGAAAGGATGATTTATTCAACTGATAGTTTTGGAATTGGTTAGCTATTTCGAGAAAAAATATTGTTCATTTAATACATTAAAACAAAATTCATATATATATAAGTTAAATGTCAAATTAAATCCAAAAAAATATAGGAGAATATTTGTTTGTCCTTGGGTTGGGGAGAAACTTTGTAAGCATAAAAGCAAGGAAAAGAAACTCAGGCAAAATGATGGCACTTTGACTAATTTATTCACCCAACATATATTCATTGACCTAGTATTTATATTAGGAATCTGTCCTTGGAAAATAAACATGTGGGCAAAGACTTATATGAAGAGATATCTATAGCAGATCTATTTTTAATGGTAGAAAATTGGAAGTAACCACAATTTCTTAGTGATGGGGGAATCATTGAGTAAATTATGATACATTAGTACAGCGGTGAATCATACATTATGAAGCCACTGATATGTTTATAATAGACTTTTAGTGGCATAGGAAAATGCTGAAGATAAAAATTCTAAGAGATGAATGGAATTTTCGTGTAGATTACTTAATCTTTGCATCAGTTTCTTATAAAATGAGGATAACTGACTCATTGGATTTGTGTGAGAATTAAATGAATCGGTGCCTTTAAAATACTTAAAATAGTAATTGCACGTGATAAGTGCTCTTACTAATCAGGTAATTAACAGGCAATAAGAGGTAATTAATTAAAAGGCTCTTAATAATAGGTAAGGTAAATCTTACCTACTAGTATACACATAGTGGTTGGTGGCTTTCATCTTTACAAAGGCTCTCTGAGTTACTAAGCACAGTTACGTTGCCAGTGAGAGCAAAAGTAAATGCTACACGTAACAATTGGTCACTTAACCTTGATTTCACTGCCTGTGAAAACTAACCTAGTATTCTCATCACCTCAGAGATGTATAGAGAATTAAATAAGTAATAAAAACCAGTAAAAACTAGTATATTGAATAAAATTATTTCTGAATTAGAAATAATTACTTTGATTGCAAAAAAGAAGGCTTATGAGATTTTTTTTCCCATCTGTAATTACTTAGAGTGTTTTTTGGTCCAAAAAATAGTGACCAGGTATTTGTTAAATATGCTAATAAGAGGATAGAAAATGATAGCCAAAAGAATTTAGGTTATAGTGTAAAGTCTTTTTCTGTAGACCAGATTTGCTGTACATATAATTTCATTTGCCCTGCTGGCCCGTTAAAGAGATGTCCATGATAGCAGAAGCCCCAAGTAATTGGAAGAGTGGTAGTGCTTTAAAATGTCACAAGATTAATCAGTAAGTATTTATTGAGTGCCTTCAAAGTGCATGGGATTGTCTCTGGATTTAGTGAAAAATTAGGATTGTTACTTAAAACAATTGTGGTAACATACAGTCTTTCTGTAGACATTTCATTTTTCCTCTATGTCGGTGTGTCTTCATTCACTAAGCTGGTATATATTGGATACCTATGGTATGCTAGCCCTTGTGCTAGATCTAGTGACACAGCTTTGAACTTGGTAGAAGATAGACATGGGTCTTGCCCACATGGAGCGTGAACAAGCAAGCAGGCAATTGCAGTACCTTTTATTAAACATGGTAGTGGTGGAAATACAAGGTGCTTGAGGAGCACACAGGAAGAGTATTCAACACAGATATAAGGAATTTGTGAAACTGGCCTAGTAAAATGTGAATAGGATGTACAAAGACCAGAAGAAAAACAGAACATGGCTTGCTCTAGAAACAAACATTTTCCATCTGTTGTAGCATAGAGCTTGAATATGGACATTGAAAGGATGAGACTAGAGCAGAAAACATAGCCTGTACCATATAAGCCCGGATAGAGTGTGGATCCCATTTGCAAAGAGGTAAGAAGATATAAGGAGAGTACAGGGCCAGAAACTCCAAGCAGGAGAGTGTTTTGAGAAGGAGAGAGTACAAGAATGTTGGATGCTATTGAGAGGTCTAGTAAAGTGAGGACTAGGAAGTACCCATTGGATTTATTAAGAAGGGTATCCTTCGTAAGAACGGTTTGAGTGGGGTGATGGAAATAGAAGGTAGGTGGTGGTAGATTGAGAAATGTCGTGGCATAGAGGAAGAAGTGAGACTGTGAGCAACTGTTTCAAAATGTTTTACTATGAAGGAAAACAGAATGCAGCAGGTGAAAGGAGACATGGAATCAAGGGAAAACATTTATTGGTGATGTCTTTCTTAATATTGGAGAGACTCGACAATGTTTAAATGAGTTATATAGTCTGATAACATACACTTAAAATGTGTTTAAGAGGGTAGATCTCATGTTAAGTGTTCTTACTGCAATAAAACAAATTTTCAAAAAACTGCTGATGAAAAGGAGCCAATGAAGAAGGGGCAGTTAAA